CATCCTCCATGCGAAGAGAGAAGCCGTTTCCTCCCTAGCCAAACGCCCAGTTCAGTCTCTCGTGCCACGATCTCGGGAGCGTTAGAGCAGCCGCTTGCATTTCCTGGTGCCGACGAATTCCAAGTCCTGCATATACAAGCGCTAGGCATCTACCCGCACGCAGGCACGACACCTCCTACCACGTCGCCCTTTTTCCCAGCGACTTCACTGCCCCCTTTCCTGGGCGACATGAATCTTAAGAGCTGCAAATAAAGCTCTCCAACTGAGCTGACCTTTGAAATCCAACCTCTCTGCTGCCTCGTGGCCTGTGTGCTGGCTCCAGGTAAAGAAGGGCAGCAGCAATCCTGCCCCTTCTGTAAAACACGGGGACGCGTTTCTCCCCCATTAATGAGCCTTTGCTGGCTGGGCCTGGGAGGATTTTATTCTGCGTTCGGCTAACTGCTCTTCCTGAAGCTGCAGAGTCCAGTCACACAGGGAGGAGCAAAGTGCAAATAAAGAAAAGTGGTTTCTCCATGCCGGGGAAACCAGTGGGTAAAAACTGGCTCGGAGGCTCGATAACCCATGGAGTGACGATGCCTTTCTCTGAAGGCAAAGCCTGCAGAGCACGGACAAGAGGGGGGACGGCTGCAGGTTGCAGGAGCCTGGCAGAGACGGCCACAAGCCTTATTTGCACAGCTCTGCAGGGCTGCAGAGTGCTACCAGTGCAGTGGAAAATGAATGCTGGCCACTTTCCAGCAGCCCATAGAGCCTTTTTTTTAAACCCCAGAAGCCTCCTTTCTGGCATCGCCGCTCTCTGGTTTTCAACTTCTGCAAAAACAGAAATTAATGCTTTAAAATAAAAGCGAACCAGGAGGAAGAAAAGGCAGTGCCAAAAACCCCCCTTCCAGCCAGAGCTGCCTGCAAAAGCGAGCAAAATAAAAAAAAAAAAAAGAAAGAAAGAAAGAAAAAGACACTCCGGCGTCACCTGTTAACCTTTGCAAGAACAGTACCCAGAGCTGCAGGGTCTGAGAGAGACAGCAGCCTGCCTAAATCCAGCGCAACGGGGGTTTTCTTGCAGGCATGAGTTTTGTGCAAAAGACCCAGAAACCCCTGTGATTTGCAAATGCAAAAAAAAGAAAAAAAAATATGCAGGACACCCACTAGATTCACCCTGCAAACCTCTGCTGGGCATAGCCACCCCTGCTGCCGGCGAGCCCCGGCTAGCTTTGAAACGAGACGGCTAGCTTCAAAACGCAGCCCCTCTGAGCAAGGTTACACAAGACAAAACCTGCAGGGCACAAAACGGACAGAAACAGCTTTTTAATCTCCCCCCCCGCACGCTACCCCATCCGACCGACCACGTGCACTGGAAATTGCAACATCTACCTTGTTTCTTGTCCATGGCTTCCCAGAAACGAAGAACAGGAACGGCACGCCTTGAAGCTGCAGAAATCCAGCGCCACACAGCTTGCCGCAAACAAGGCTGCTTATTTGCAAAGAGAATGCATGGTCCTGGGGACACAGCCCCCCCCCGAAGCTCTCTCCTGGCAGCAGCACAGAGCGCTTAGAGCATGCAAGCGCTTTTCTAGGGAGCCGGGGAGGAAAGAGGAAAGAAAAAGACGGAGAAGGTGGAGCACAGGGATCCTTCCCAGGCAGCTGCTGAACTTGGCTGGTTTCAGCTCCGATTACACTTGAAAGCTCAACAGTTGTACAGCTGCGGCAATCCGGTCACCAGTGACGTCAAACAGGAAGCCGGAGGGGAGCCAATGGTGGAAGCCAGCGATGTGCAGCATCCCACTGCGCAGGGGTCCCGGCTGCAAGCGCCTCATTAAACCCGAGCTGGGATGAGAAAGGCAGATTCGGCCCCGCTCTTTAACCCCGAGGGCAAAGACTGGCCGTGGGGGCGGAGGAGCAAACAATGAGAGGTGACAGCTGGAGGGGACGCTCCTCGAGAGGTGTCGCCGTGCACAGCCCCAGCCCAACGTCATGGTTATAAATCGACGCTGGCTTCCAGAGAGCGCCCGGTTGCCAGGTCATCGGGTTTTCACAGGTCCCAGACCACTGGCCTGCAAGGCCTGCTCCCACTACAACAGGACTGCGCGTTACTAGGAAAAGCCAGTGCGTCGCGGCAAAGAGCTGCCACGGTCCTCGCCCCAGTCTGGACAGGGGTGCTGAAGGAGAAAGACAGCGCAAGGCACAGACGAGGGTTGCACATGAGAGTCATGGGTCTGCCCAGGGTTCGGCTCCCGTCTCCCGAAAGGGACTGCCGCATTGAAACGGGGATGCTCTATGGACCAACGATGCCCCAGGGGTCAGCACGGGGGGCAGCACCCCAAGCATCGCACAGGACACGGCTCCACAACCCTGGGACGGCTGCTCGTGGAAAGGCAGCGCAAGCCTAGCGATTTGCCCGGCCTCACCTCTCGGAGCTGGGCACCCGCCCCGCAAGCCGTGTCAGCAGTGAAACAGGAGCTCCCTGGAGCAGGGAAAAACCAGCTGCCGGAGCCTGCTGCAGCGGGGGAGAGGGGGGAGTGGAAGAGAACCCGACCGGCGCGAAACGAAGCTGATAGGGGAGCGCGAGCCCGGCGATATTTCTGTCGAAGGACTCAGGCAGCAAGACCGCTGCCTGCAGCCAAGACGCACCCCCGCGGGGGGCCGCAGGAAGAAAGAGCCCCTATTCTTTTACATTGCAGGTGACATGCAGAAAAAAAAAAAAAAAGAAAGAGATATATATATATA